TAAGTTACAAAGATGAGAGTATGCAAATCTTTCGTTTAGTTAAGGGGATGTTTGAGATTACTTATTTAAAACAGCTTAATGTTTTCTTGTAAAAGTGTTTAACAACTTATCAAAAACTTCTTATTACCGGTTTGACATCGGTATAAGGCTTTTTTTTCCTTCCCATCCAAACACTAAAAATTGCTTATTACCGGTACCACACCGAAATAAGTCAATAATTAAACAGTCTAAATAAGCAATCCCAAACACCCCCTAAAATCTAAATAGTTGATTTTGAGTTTATGAATGAAAAAACAATATAAAAAAACTGAAAATCCTAATTTTAGGATGATAAAATTAGAGTTCATTTCTTAACGGTTTTCAATTATTTTGGTGTTAAAATATCGATAATAAGTTGTTTATTGCAATAATAGAAAAAGAAAAATTAAATTAAATAGCCTTAAATATAATTATTTTTTTAATTTAAATAAATCGAATTAGAAAACCATATCTTATTTTATTCGCTTTGAATAAAGTAATATATGATTTTATGATTTAATTTGTTTAAATTAAAGTTTTAATTACATTAAAATCATATCTTTTTTCATAATTACAATAAAAGAATAACATTAAATTGTATTTAATATAATTAATCGTCAAAAAAAAAAACAAATCAAATCAAATCACAAATAATATCTTATATATTTGTGTGTTGTAACATCCCATAATCACATTTACATATAATCATGAATTTCATATATCAAGAAATATAAATTTACATATTCGGTCTCAAATATAATAAAAAAACTACATTAGAAAAATAGCTACCAAACATTCTCACAACATCACTGCACATAACTTGTATACATAACAAGTTTTCCAAAATAACAGATAAGCAAGCTATCATCTACATCCCATGTAAGCATATAAGACATCTCATAATTTTTTCTTTTCCCTTATCCTTTGATTGTTTTCTCATTAATAGCATTTAACCAACCCGACAGTTAAAACAATAACGAGGAAATTCAAAATATGGCCCAGGAGAGCTGCTTTTGCTAAAACTCGAGCCATGACCATACAAGCATGTTACATGAAATGCACCAAAATCAAAGCATAAATTCGACATGCATAGGAATTCAATAAACTCTTGGAATCATTTCAAATGCATATCCCATTTTTGCACAGCAGGATTATGAAAATCCACGAGAAGCGATTGGACGTATTGTAATGATGCACATTTTTTTAAACACAAAATGAGGATTAGACCTTGAGGTTAGTGAGAAATCCCTTTGATGTAATTATAGGGTGAAAATCACCAAATTATGTTTATAAACAAATATTTGTAATGATAACAAATATACATCATTTTGATATAACAAATTGCATTTAGTGCATTCAAATATCCAATATCTTGAAAGATACCTCCTGGGTAAAACTTATCACGTCGTATAGAAATTTATACAATTTTCTCGCATCACATTGATAAGACAAACCCAAGTCCTCGCAACACACGGATGCGAGAATCTCAACTCATCGCATCATTCAAAGTAAGACCAACCAGAGCCCCTCTGATCTTACCAACCAGAGCAAGGCCAAACAGAGGCCATCTGGTTTGTTTGTCCAGAGCCTCTGGGACAAGAAATGTTTAATACTTGAAAAATTTTGAGTTTCAATTACAGTCAGAGATTGTCCGGTTAAACATGAAGATCAACCAGACTCCCTTTGGTTCTTCTACCATGGATCGGGATGTTTTTCTAAGGTTCAAATGAACAACCAGAGCCCTCTGGCCTTAAAACAAGTTTAAATCATCATATCAGTAGGATATAACAACCCAAGCACTCACATTACATAGATGCGATAACTCAAGTTCATAGCATCATAAGGATGCGATAACAAAATCTCATGATCAAAAAGATCATCATTTCAAGAAATTGATTATGTTACTCTTATCTCAATATAGTCAGCTTCTGATTATGCCACCCTTATTACAAGAATATATTCAACTTCTGATTATGACACATTTATTACAAAATAATACTCATCTCCTGATTATGTCACCCTTATTACAAGAATATATTCAACTTCTGATTATGACACTTTTATTACAAAATAATACTCATCTCCTGATTATGTCACCCTTATTTCCACACATGATATAATCATGACAAAAACCACCATTTTACCAATAATGGTGTCGAAACAATTTAATTACAGAACCTCATATAAAAAACCATACGGTTCTATACCCAATTTCACCATCATGCTAAAATAACATCCTTAAACAGTTTTATCATTATGCCCATAGATGAAGATGAATTTACATAGCAACAAATTTCAAGTAGAAATTACAGAATCAGTTTCTTCTTTCCCCTTACAAGTCTGTTTTCTTTTCACATAAAAGAACACACACACAGAAAAGCTCTCTTATCTTTCTTACTTACTTTTTTAATATCCCAATGAGATAAAGACCATTATCTCATAATAATATTATTTTAAAATAATTAGTCGGTGGAAGTTTAAAACATTTTTAAGCACATTAACACATTAAACCCCTCTTCTTACCAATACTTTTCAAAAACAACTCTAAATATTATAACCGAAAAACCCAGTTATCACATATCTGCATAATTTTTTTTTCTTTTATAGGAAAAAGACAAAAATATATAAAAAAAGAGGCTAAAATGGCATTTGATATAATGGAGTTAACTGAAGTGTTAATCTTAGGACCATGACCAAAACAAATTGAACACCATAAGAACCAAACCCACAATAAACATAACGTAAGAACCCTAATAAAAAAAACCTCAAACTACATCAACCAAATCCACAATTCAAACTTAAATTTATCTCAATATTTAATGCATCTTGTAAACCTCCAAAACAATATTGTTGTCAAAGTATAAAGACAGATTGATGAATAATTCCTTGAAAATTAAGTTTAAGGGTTGATTATGTATAAATAGCCAAATTAGGAGGATGTATTGTGCAACTAATTAAAAGACCACGTTCAACAAAACAATGTCTTAGTAAAACTGGAATCAAACTGTCAAGAAAAGCAGCAAAATTAATGTTATGTAACTAGGACTTTATTTTTGGTAATCGTTGATTGTTCGGTCAGTTAGCTACATCGACTAATTCATCGGCAACCACGAAAGACCTGAAACTATCGTAGATGAACTTTCATGACTACAAAGGTTTTGGGAGCGCCTGAATTCAAACCCAAAATAGATGAGATTTTCGGCTACATCCCCTAAAACTTAACCTGAAAATTGTAATAAAATAATAGTACTCAATTGTTTTAATTTATTTCATACAATTTTTTTGTATCATTTATGGAATAATTAATTTTCATACTTTTTATTAAGAATGTAAATCATACAACAATTTGTATTAATTCATGGAGACATACGACTTAATAACTTACATAATTAATTAAATGGAAAAAGTAAAGTAAACAACCTTTTAATTAATAAAATATTGGAAAGAATTCGAGAAAAAAAAGGTGTTAAAATGGGACCCACTTCCATGTTTGAAGGTCACGTTACCCTGCCCGCTACGTATTTTCTATTCCTACCTACGATTACAAATCCATTTTAATTTCCATTCATATTTTAGTTTTTATAATAATAAAAAAAAAATTAAAAAACAATACTAAATTAAAACTAACTACAATTTTATTTATGTCCCATTATGAAATTAGTGGATATGTTTCTTACCATTGGTTTATTATATAACCATAGATGTTATGTGCATCGTGACTTAAGACTTGTGTCTCATGCTACGTGAGATATAGGACATGACGACTCTCTAATGTGGAATCCAATTATAATGTTTTAGAATTGAGTTTAATTATACGTTTTTTTTTTAATTTTTTAGGTCCCGATGTTCCAATTTTTTTGGAGGCTTTGCTTACATCCAAGACTTTTGATTACATTAAATAAATGAGATAATAGTGAATATATGTTAAGAACAAAAATGGGCTAAACCAAAAACGATTAGCAACCTGAAACTAAATCTAAACCATTAATGATTTGAATCTAAAATCAAACAATTAATGGTTTGAACATAAATAATTTCGGCTACAATTTTACACATGTTGATAAAAAACCCTAAACACATGTAAATTTGGACCGCAAAATTTGATGGACCCTGTTCAAAATCTCACATTTAACCTGTTAAGAGACGACCTTGTTCCCATTTATTTTATAGGAATAAATTCGATTTGAAATTGAATTTTATTCCAATCTCATGCTAAAAATCTTGAAATTTCATTGAAATCTTACGAGCATGATTGGTATTTTTTTATGAAATTTCATAGGATTTATATCCAATAATATTTTAAAATATATTAAAATAATAGAAAAAATCAAAAAAACTAAAATACCCTCTCGAGGAAAACATATGGTTTCACTTAGCCTAGGAAAACAAATACGAGGGCAATCGATGAGGAAAAAGAAAATGAAATCATTATAATGAAACGATGTAACAAATAAGTTATGTATACGATACCAAAGGACCTTTGGCCTAGCGGTATTATAGCAATTGGCCTCCTCGGAGGTCAAGAGTTCAAACTTCACCATAGTTCATAGGTGAGGAGGTTGTGTAAATTTACTTGTTGCGTTTGCTGTATATAAATATTATATACTTCAAAAAAAAATATGGATACGATATCCCATCATTAAAAAAAAATGTAATTTATGGTAATATTATTCGTATTTTTATGAATTATTTAAAGGTATATATGTTTCTAATCATGCCCGTTGATTAAGGATCCTCCCATGATCTCCTCACATTCTTTCATATTTCATGTATTTTATTTCACGGATTGTACGGTACAAACATCCATTGCAGTACCACATATACATATATGTATTTTGAAAACAGTGTGTTGACTTAATTACCATTAATTGTTTAATTAAAGGATGATTAGTGCTAATTAAAGACGGTTAGGAAGCAGTTCTACAATCTTCTCCCATAAATTCCACCCATCCACCCTCCTCAATTCCATCATCTCGATCAAAATGTCCATCCGTCTCCTTGTCGCCCTCATCACCATCATCGTCTTCCTCGAAGAAACAACCGCCGCCGCCACATACAATGTGAAGAGCTTCGGAGCCAAACCAAACGGAAGAACAGACTCAACCAAGCCGCTTATGAGTGCATGGTCAGCTGCTTGTGGCTCGTCGAAGCCAGCCACGATTTTCGTCCCAAAAGGAAGGTATGTGGTTGGTGGGTTACGTTTCAGAGGGCCATGCAAGAATCGAGCCATCACCATTCGTATTGATGGCACGCTTATGGCTCCTTCCAATTATGGTGTTCTTGGTGACGCCGACTACTGGCTTCTTTTCCATGGAGTTGATGGGGTTACGATTCAGGGTGGAACCCTAGATGCTCAAGGTGCTGGTTTGTGGGCTTGTAAGTCGTCCAACTCCAAGAATTGCCCCAGTGGAGCCACGGTATATATGGCTTGAAATTTAAACAATCATAAAAAGTTAGTGTTCAATTTGGTTTTTGAAACTTGCATGCATGTTGAACTGTGCAGAGTTTAGCGATTTCGAACTCGAATAATGTTGTGGTGAATGGATTGAGTTCATTAAACAGCCAGATGTTTCACATCGTGGTGAACGGTTGCCGGAATGTGAGGATGGTGGGGGTGAACGTGGTGGCGCCATGGGACAGCCCTAACACCGACGGCATCCACGTCCAGTTGTCCACCGGAGTTACCATCTTGAACTCCAAACTCAGCACCGGCGATGACTGTGTTTCCGTTGGCCCCGGTGCCACCAATCTCTGGATCGAGAATGTCGCTTGTGGACCAGGCCATGGCATCAGGTATATATATATATATATATATATATATATATATAATCACCTAAAACCACTAGAATTCCACAAAATTCAAATGGGTTAAATAATTAATCTGTAACGAATTGAATGAATCTTGATCGAATGTGTTCATACAGCATTGGAAGCTTAGGGAAGGACTTAAAAGAAGCGGGAGTGCAAAACGTGACGGTTAAAAGGGTAACTTTTAAAGGAACACAGAATGGGTTGAGAATAAAATCATGGGCAAGGCCAAGCAGTGGGTTCGTTAATGGCGTTCTCTTCCAGAATGCCATCATGACCGACGTCCAGAACCCAATCGTTATCGATCAAAACTACTGTCCAGGTAGCATTAACTGCCCCGATCAGGTACGGGTTCCAGTTCTCTTTGCATCCGTCAATCTTCATCTACTTTCAGTTCAAAAACTTATCTACAAGCTGTAATTGTTGCAGGTTTCCGGCGTGAAAATAAGCAACGTGAAGTATGAAGACATTCATGGAACATCTGCTACAAAAGTGGCGGTGAAGTTCGATTGCAGCAAAAAGAGTCCATGTAGGGGAATCACGATGCAAGATGTGAACTTGAGCTTCAAGAACCAGTTACTTTCTGCGTCTGCATATTGTGTGAACGCCGGAGGAAAAGCTTCCGGCGTGATTAAACCGACAAGCTGTCTGTAGATGGAGATGGAGATGGAGATGGAGATGGTTGCCTGAGCCTGTGGTGTTTTAGAATTGAATCGCCTGGCCTTTCGTCGATATATAACCATACATAGAATTATATCCATGGTTTTTAAGATGTAATTTAGTTATAGATTTGTGCCCTTTCGAGTTTCTTGAGAAGTTGGAATGAATGATTATGGTTTTTTTTGAGTTTTTATTTAGATACGTGATAAAGTCGACCAAATAAATCGATATGGGTCGGTTAAAGTAATCACTAGGTTTCCGTTTGTTTGGTAATTGCTTATCGGATAAATATCTTCATCGGATGAACATGACAGGGTCAAGAATCTTACCGGGTAAGAGCAATGAGAATGATGTAGAGTCTTTTATCCGGTAAGTGAAGATGACGACTCTTACCCAAGTAAATGCTTACCCGGTAAATTGTTGCATTCGATACGTTTTGATGTACTAAAATCTTACACATCAAGGTAAATTATGGTTTTGACTTCTATAGGTAAGCAATTATCAGATAAACAACCCCTAAATGTTTAATTAATGTTTTTTTTTAACATCTTAAAAAAAATGTATATATAATAGTTTTATAATGTAGCCAAATGTGAAACTTTTTTGTAAATAAGAAATTAATTAGTATTATTTATAAAATGTCATACCCTTTAAATTATGACATTGTTTGCAAGTAAAAATGATATTTTCATAACTAAACGAGAAACACAAAAATTGAAGCCTATTTTTTGAATAGATAGTTCATCTTTAAATCTCAAAAAAATTTGAGCATTTTGTTTAGATAACTTCAGTCTTCATCTTATCTTTGAAAGGTCAACGGTATTTGAATACATTAAAAATATCATAATATTATATTTTTCAAACAAGAAAAAACTATAATGTGAACTTATCGAAATAGAAACCATGTAAAAGTACATGATATATTAAATATTGAAATTACTCTGTGAGTTTAAGCAATTTATTGCATCTATAAAAATGTTGGATTAGCTAACATACACCATTTTGAAAACATAAAAAGGTTAATGAGTGAATATTAATATTATAGATATTGTAACTTTATAATGTCAAATTGGTCAACATGCATGTGAAAGAAGTATTAGTGGTGAGCATAAAATGCAACAATGAAAGTAAAAGAAAAGGCGGCAAGATTGAGGACGAAATCGGAATATTTAAATGGTGGAGGTTGGAGCATGATTATGGTTTAGTGATGATGGTAGATGGAGTGATTTCCATGGCGGAAAAGAAAGGTTGAAGGGGGATAGATTTCCTTTTTCCTTCTTTTCGTTTCAAACTTCGTATCTGGATGACCAATTTCATTCCAAAATTGAGACTCATATAGTTTTCCTTGATGGCTTCATGGACAGTGGAACGTTAACAGTAATTCAAGATAGTGGGGGAAGTCGGAAATGAAGGGGATGATAGGGTGAGGGCTTTAAAAACTTATAAATAATGCATAGATGACAGTTAAAATTCAACAACAATAACAAATAACATAAAATATATAGATAAGGGTGTAAAATGGGAAAAAAAAATTAAGATACTAAAAAACATCAGTACATATTTAATAATATTATTAAATTTAATAACATTCAATATTAGATTCATTTTGAAGGTATTGAAGAGACGATTATAATAGTATAATTTATAAAAAATAAACGTTTTTAAATATATTTTTGTTAATATATAGTTACATATGTTAATATGAGAATGTGTAAAATGAAAAATAGGAAAAGAAGAGATATAAAGTAA